TTGAAAGTTAATAAAGAATATAAAAGCAATTATATTCGGGCTAACAGATTAATAGACAAGACTATTGGTCTGTTATTATTAACAGCAGCTGATTAAAATGGATTTGAAGGCGGGTGAATATCTAAAAAGTTGGATAAAGCATGAGAACTGCTGAGTATCTGTACATGATGGATTGTTGGTTTTCTGAAGTTACAAACATTGTTGGTCCCCCTTTGTTGACCCAACCAGCTCATAGCTGGGTAGCATAGATGGGTAGCATGTAGATGGACACAGTCGAGTCCTTGTGTTGTGTAGAGGACCCAGAATTGAGCCCTGTGGAACTCCGCCACCATCCTTAAAACACGCCATCACACATGTGGCACAAGGATACAATTCTTGTGAATTTTTGGCTTTTTTTGGACAACATTTTAGTCTTCTTGTATGTCACAGTTGATTCCTCTGGTAGACTACTGTGCTCCATTTCACACTGTCCTAGTGTCGGCCATCCGACATCCGAGTTGATCCAAGAATCTCTCGTTTCAGGGAGAGAACGGGAACAGTGTGTAATGCAAAGTTTGCTGACAGCTGCTGTTGGAGGGGAATATGTGGTTACAGTGGAAAAATATATAGTTGCCACTTACATGTGAAAATACGTTCTACAGTCCAATTTTCCTCTTGACTCACAAAGTAAACTGACATTAAAACTGTGATTACACGGAGCGTGAAGAAGGAAACTAAATTCATTTCCAAAGTTTTGATGGACTGGAATCATTTATTTACATATTATTATTATTATGATTGATAGATGCACACATTTTTGTTGTTCTAGCTGCAGACAAAGCCAGGCTTCCTGCTACTTGTATCTTCACGCTGAGCTAAATTGAGTATTTAGCTCTTGCGTTAGAAAATGTTATATTGTGTGCATAAGCTTATATTTTCTGATTCTCGTGTCATTTCCAGCTTATGAACATTAAGCTCGGCTACAGTTATCTGTCATGTGGTAACACGGTGTGATGAGTCATTCAGTGTTTATTGCCCCAAAAACATGTCAGAGGTTCTCATCCCGTTCGTGTTGGTACAAGTCTCGGACTCTTTTGGTGTAGCATGACGTGGATTCTGACAGTCCAGACAAAATGAATATTGGATGTGCAGCTCTGCTCTTTAAAGTCCATCCTGACTTCTTTGTCTTTATTGCTTTCTAAAGCTGAGCTCCTGCTCGCTCCTCTCTCCCACTCTTCTTCTCTCTCTTTCCTGCCTCTCTTGCTGCAGTTACCTCGTTTCACTATTCTTTTAAAACCTTCTTTCTCTAGAGGACGCTGCTCTTATAGCCGGGTGGTCCAGCCTAATCAGAAATAATGTAACGAAGCTGCTCGGCTCTCCGCAAACTTGAACTGCATCCAACAGCAAACTGAATTTACAGCCAGGAGAGCGGAGGGTGAGACGGGAAAGGTACAGAGTACACGAGCTGTGGAGACAATGAAATTAGGAGTACAGAGTGGAACGTTAATAGGCACAGAGGGCTGGGTTATTAACAGAAAGGAAAACATCTCTGAGCGTAGAGTGGAGCAAACAGGAGATCGTTCTGTTTGCTACCAAAAACAAAGCAGGATCTGTATTCCCTGGAAGAACAAAGATATCGTCAGGTATCGAGGGACAGTTGATTTAGTGAACATAGAACAGGAAACCTGAGATAGTCGGGAAAGGACGGCAGAAAAAGTGTCGTTGTGAAGAAATGTGTATTGTAGATTTCAGTTGTTCATTTTGAATAAGACATCTGCACTACGTCCAGAAGTTCTGTCAGTGCTGTGTTTGGAGCAGCAGCCCACACTGGAGGCCTAATATTGTACAGATGTTAGTGGAGTCATTTACAGAAGGCCTGAGGTGCACATTACTAACACAGTAATGTTATTTTGAAAACTATGAAATATGAGTGCAGCCAGTAGTTTTATGCGGGATGTAAAATCTGCTGTTTGTCCGTCCATGAAGTTATTTTCTCCTTTCAGACGGAATCACTGAAAGAAAAATCCTGATTTCTCTGTGTGACTCCTGAAAAGGCCAAATCGATAACAAACCAACTGTGACAACAGGAGTCAGGACAATTACACTTTAATCCAGTGTGTGTGTGAGTGTGTTCACACACAC